TTAATATCAGCTGAGAAGATTGCTGAAGTTCTTCAGCGATCCTTGATTGTTGTCAGTAGTGAAAGATTGATAGAGATAGCTACAATATAAATCGAGATACATCGCCATCAGTACAAAACCCCTAGATAGAGTAACTATGCCGAAGTACGCCGTAGTTACATTCCTTTCGACGTCTACGCCCTCCTGATTGGGTGAGACATCGAGTCAGAAGCATCAAGTTAGCCAAGGTTTGTCGACCGTCGATCTATTAGGAAGAAGTTATTCGACGGCCGTGACAGAGGAGTTGAAGGCGGTGGTGATCAAGCTAGACAACAGGATGACTGAATGTTGGGCAGAGAGACAGGCTAACGGGCAGAAAACGAACTGGGGAAGAACGCCTAACTTCGTGCAATCAGCGCCGAAGTTAGTGACAACAGCGGCAAAGGATCCTGTAGTTTTGGTGTCAGCTCCTCCTATAAATCAAAACAATATAACAACAGGGTTGCAGGTCTGGAAACAAGGGGATCCTCTTACCCCGAGGCCAAATTTCGAGCAGAGGGAGAAGTGGAGGGCCGAAAGAGTGTGCCTCGAGTGTGGGGGCCAAGGGCATTATGTGAAGGATTGTCCTATGGTAGCTGCTAAGGTAGCTCAGGGATTAATGAAGCCTCCTAGAATGTGGAGAAGTTCAAGGAACAGAGGAACGGGAGGAAATGCAGTGGTGATGGGAGAGCCGAGGCAGATGAATGCGGTAGCAGGGGAGGATGTGGAGGAGGGAAAAGGCTTGGACCCGTCGGTTTGAGAGAACGTCGGTGGGTCCCATTCTCTGTCCTCTCTGCTATTGTTCCTTCTGATATTACAAGGAAAGAGCTGACAGTAGCAGGACAATGTGTACACGAAGACAGACATTTCATCAAGATACCCATCACTAAGGCGAGACAACCAAAGACTAAAATCAACGTAACAGGGGCCCAGGTGGTCGCCTTGTGGGATTCGGGAGCGACTAGTTCATATATAAACCCAAAAACAGTGGACGAGTTAAAGTTAGAAGTTACGAGACACCCAGAGGAAGTACCTGTACATATGTTTGATGGCTCGGAAAGTATCGGCGGTCCCATAACAAAGTTCGTTGAAATAGGGATTCATGTGTCAGAAGAGGACGAAGTTCGGAGGATTCGGTTGGACGTCACCAAGCTGTGTGACACAGATGTGGTGATAGGATGGGAATGGATGAAGAAAGAAGGAGTGGTTCTGAAGGTGAGAGAAGAAGTAATAAGGCTCCCAGTGAGGAAGAAAAAGGAGCAGGAGAAGTTGGGAGCGGTTTTTGGATTCAAGGAAGGGGAAGTCCTAGGCCCAAGAGATTCGGCTTTGGAGGACAAACTTAGTGAGGAAGAGCAAGAGGAACTACTGGAGTTGATACCTTCTGAGTATCATGGTTTCTTGGATATCTTTAACCCTAAGGTAGAGGAGAGACACTACCCCCATACCGGAGTTATGACTTGAGACTGGACCTAGTGGAGGGGGCGAAGCTGAAGGTGGCTCCGTTATATTCGTTAGCTGAGGATCAGAAAAAAGCGTTAAGGGAGACTTTGGACAAGGAGGTAGCTGCCGGTAGGATCCGGAAGAGTAACTCACCTTATGGGTCACCTATGTTCATGGTTCCCAAGAAGGTAAAAGGACAGTGGCGGATGGTAACGGATTATAGGAAGTTAAACAAAGTTACCATTCCAGATGGCTATCCTCTTCCATTGATCAGTCAGATTACTGAAGAGTTAGGTTCAGCAAACTATTTTCCAAAACTCGACTTGATGGGGGCGTATCAATTACTTCGAATTGCTGAGGGATACGAGTATCTCACGGCCTTTTGGACACAATACGGAAAGTATGAATCTTTAGTAGTCAGGGATGGTTTACGAAATGCGCCTGCCGTGTTCCAACACTTCTTGAACAACATTTTCAGAGATTTACTAGGGGAAGGAGTCATAGTCTACATCGACAATATTCTGATTTATGCTAAGACTAAGGAGATGCACGGTGAAGGTATTTCAAAGACTTAGAAAAGCTAATTTGTTTGTGAAGGCAGCGAAATGTGAGCTCGATCGAAGTTTGGTGGTTTTTCTTGGGTACGTGGTTTCAAACTCAGGTATTTCGGCAAACCCAGAATATGTTGCTGCTGTACAGGATCTGCCTCGACCCAAGAATTTACAAGAGTCCCGAGGTTTCATGGGAATGGTCAGCTATTACCGGCGGTTTGTCCCAAACTTCTCGAAAATTGCGAAGCCTCTGAACGACCTTACTCACAAGGATGTAAGCTTCACATGGGGAACTGAGCAAGAGGAGGCGTTCAGAGTGCTGAAGAAGAAGTTATGTGAAGCTCCAATGCTAGCTCATTTCGACACTTCGTTGAAGACGATCATGCAGGCAGACACCTCTTTTTGCGGATGGGGATATATTATCTCACAGATTGATAAAGAAGGTAGGGAACACCCTGTGGCTATTGAGTCAGGAGCCTTTAAGGGTGCTGAGTTGAATTATACTACGGGGGAGAAGGAGTAGTTAGCGATAGTCGAAGGCTTCAGGAGGAAGAGACACTTATCACTACAGGTAGAAACAAAGGTCTTAACAGATCATCTTAACCTGACATATTGGATGGCCCCAAAACAACTGAACCCTAGGCAAGGTAGGTGGGTTGAAGAGCTGGCTAACTTCAGATTTACGATGGTTTATCGCCCTGGGAGACAAGCAACACTGCCAGATGCCTTGTCAAGACGACCGGACTACCATCCTGGTATTAAAGGGATAACTACGGAACAGGAGGAGAACTTCGTCCAAGGGTTGCCGAAGTTTGACTTAGGTGATGTTACTGAATCAAGTCTGGGACATATGCTCCGGGCTTTGCAAGGGACGAAAGAAATTAGGGAAGAAGATCGAATGAAAGGCAAAGATATTGTTAAGGGATACGAGATTGATGAGGAAATACACGAAGTTCGGGAAGGAATGTTGACAGTGATCTGCACTGAGTGTTCTCATCCTGAATGTGAAGCTTAACATCAGGAACCAAGATAAGTCAAAGAATTTTGACAACAGTCGCGCCATGGGATGTTCTTGAATCCATCGTGTTCGGTAAGAGGTTTCCTACGATTTGATGGACAGGTATATCTTCCAAATATTGATGAAATGTGAGTAAAGATCTTGAAGTCCAGGCATGATTTGGTATTAGCCGGTCATCCTGGGGTCACGAAGACTCTGGAATTAGTGCTTAGAGACTACATCTGGAATAGAGTCAGGAAAGATGTGGAAGATTATGTTGGGGGGTGTGTAGTTTGTCAGAGAGCTAAAACAAACAGACAAAAGCCTCAAAGAACACTGAAGACATTGGAAGTAGCTGAGAAACCTTGGTCTAGTATCCCAATGGACTTCATTGAAGCACTACCAGAGCCAAACGGCTTTAACTCAATTTTGGTGATAGTGGACCGGTTATCGAAATGGACGATGTTTGTACCCATGATGATGAACCTCACGGCTGCCGGGTTAGCGGATGTGGTTGTCGAGCATGTGGTGGCCCAACATGGACTACCAGAGGGAATAGTTTCGGACAGAGGGACAAAGTTTACCTCGAAGTTCTGGAAAGATCTGACTGCTAGTCTTGGTATAAGACTACATCTTTCCACTGCATATCATCCACAGACTGATGGCCAGACTGAGCAAAGAAATCAAGCTTTGGAAATGTACCTACGAGTATTTGCTTTGTATCAGCAGGATGATTGGGCGAAGTTATTGCCAAAGGCTAGCTTTGCGTATGATAATACAATTCATTCGGCTATAGGGAGGAGCCTGTTCCTTGCGAACTTTGGGTATCACCGACGGTGGACAGATGAGATTAAGGAATTTGAAGTAGAAGTTCCTGTTGCTCGAGCAGTTGTTACTGATCTACAGAAGATACGTAAGCGATGTATTGAAGGCATCAAATTAGCCAATGAGAGATACTCAGAAGCGTATGATTGCAAGCACTCCGCAACACCGGTTTTTGAGGTTGGAAGCAAAGTAATGTTATCTCTTGAGAAGATTAGAACTAAGAGACCCAGTAAGAAGTTAGATGCTAAACAAGCAGGCCCGTACAAAGTTATTGAACACATTGGTACTCATGCGTGTAGGCTGAAGTTACTAGCTTCGATGGTTAAGCTTCATGATGTTTTTCATGTGTCGTTGTTAAGGAAGTTTCAACCAAAGAACTTCGTGGAACAGGAGGCAGAACTTCCTGATCCATTCCAAGTCGATGATGTAGGAGAGTCATGGGAAGTTAAGGATATTCTAGACTCTAGAATAAATAAGAGATCTGGGAAGGTCGAGTATTTAGTAGAGTGGTTGGGATTTGAAGGAACTGATGATGCTGTCTCTTGGGAACCGAAGGGAAATGTTGATGGTGCACATGAACTTCTTAAGGGTTTCCACAAACGTTATCCTGAGAAACCGAAGGGAGATCTAGTTCGACGAGTTTGTACTCGACGAACTTAGGGACCGGTCAAGAATGATACATGAGACAAGAAGTTATACAACACTAAGTCTTATTTCTCTCACCATCTACAAGAATGTCGATATCATCCATCACCATTTTCCCTTTTCCTTTATCACGACCCCACCTGGCACTATCAACCCACCAGGAGTGGGCCCCCTCCGTATCAGTAAGCTCTTCACGGGCTGTCACTAACAACGGATCGTTCCTCACAGCGTTTCTCATTCTCTAATTAGCATCCCAGAATGTCTCACTAGCCGCACGAATTTCGTCCCTTGGTCCTTGGGTGCTGGGCCCAGCAACCGCAACACCAGTCAAATCTCGCTCCTTTCGCCTGATAGTATCATTGATCTCTCCCCAGAACTTATGGCCAAAGATGGCGTGGCAACCAGTACGAAGAAGATGTTCGTTCCATTGGAGCAGTAAACTATGAGTGGCAGAACCAATATGAGAACTTCTCTTCGATAAGTTCCGACTTAAAAGGCGAATTTGGTTGAGAAAACGACAAATGATGACACCTTGTACGTCCATCATATCTGCTGCACGAAGGGCGACTACGGTCATATCTGCTAATCGTTTCTCTACCTTGAGATTGTCTAAGGTTAGAACTTCGACTAGCTTCTCGAGGTCCTCGATAATTTGCTCCTGGGTAGGAGGAGGATTTTCCTTGGGCGCCGACGAAGAGGATGAAGATGACGCGGGTGACGGAGGAGCAGGCACAGGAGGAGCAGGAATGACAAAGGCGCCGGGAATGATTGGCGACGGGGAGCAAAGGTCGATGACGGGAGGAGCACGAGCAGGACAAGGGGCACGAGGAGGAGGAGAAGGAGACAACTCCCACAGGGGAGCAGGAGGGCGAGCGGGACGGAAGGTGACGGAAGGTGGGAGAGTGTCACAAAGTGACAAGACAGTTTGGTTAGAGTTGGATGGGTTGGGTATCTAACCAGCGACCGGCGGTTACGATTAACCGCCCGTTAATAGGCCTTTTAGCACAGTGGTTTAGATCGCTGCTTCTGAAGGGCACTGTTATATCGTCCCAATGCTGGTTAGTTGGTCTCGTGACAGAGAGGAGGAGGAAGGCCGGGAAGCTCGTCCGTCGACGAAGGAGATTTGGTTGCGAACACCAAGGGGCCAGCAGCTGGGGGCGAAGGACAGGAGGTTGTCGAAGCCTTCCACTGCTTAGCAGGGGAAGGGGGGAGGAAGGAACAGACGCCGGATGTGCACAACGCACATTGTGTACCACGGTTGGTACCACAAGGACAAACACAGGGGAAGTCGGGGTGATGAGATTGTTTGTCACTGGAAGTTAGGATCTGTTACGTTTTTTTTTCTAGAAAGTATGATTTGCTCACCGGCAGTGGTCGCACTCTTCTCCCTTAGAAGCCAGTTCCTACCTCTCAGGTTGGGCCGCAAGGAGGGCCAAGAGACTAGCCAAAGTTCTAACCGTTCCCGAGCGAGGAACGGGGGAAGAAGTTGGGGCCTTGACCCGTACCCGTTTTTGGACGGGTGTGTGCACGACTGGGCGGACAAAGAGGAGGAAGAGACAGATATTGGTGACGAAGTTCGTCGGTGTCTCTTCTTTGGAGACCGAAGGATTGAAGTTTTCTTCTTTAAACTCGCCTCTTGTGAGGGAGTTTTCCTCTTAGCCGGGGTCGAAGACGGACCGGCGACAGCATCGGGAGCTGCGGAAGACGACGAAGATGCCAACAAAGAAGTCAGGGCAGCCAAGAGAGAAGAGAGGTGAAGGCCAGCCGAGCTGGCAAGGCGGCGAACAAAGGACGAAGGGGGGGCAGGAGGCGGGGACTGGACCCACATTTCATGCTGAGTTGTTTTGTTCTTTTTGGTGTTAATGTTCGCTCATGAGGACGTTCACGCTCAAGGAGGGGACCACTGTGACACAGCGCCGCATGACATTATCCTTTCCCATCAAACGAAGGTCCTTTGGACATCAGCTCGCCATCAACGATCCAGTTCTTACGAACTTCACCACCCACGAGGGTATTAGGAGGCAAACATCGTCAAGGACGAAGTTAGTCATGTAGGAAGTTGGGGAGATACAAAGTTAGGGAGATACAAAGTTAGGGAAATACAAAGTTAGGGAGATACAAAGTTAGGGAGGTACGAACTTCGTCGGGGACGAAGTTCATGAGGTACGAAGCTCAGGGATTCGGGTTGAATCAAGTTCTGCGTTGGCGAAGTTAGGGAAGAATGAAGTACTTAAGGGGCGAAGTTCCCAGGGATCTTTGAGGATCTCTGGTTGGTGTCTTAGTGATAGAAGTTAGTAGAGCACATAGTTAATACACCCTGAAGTTGGTATCACCACTTCATACTACAAAGAACAAGCCTGTTAAGGGTCATAGCCCACAAAGTTATTGGCCGTCGGTCCTGAGAAGTTAATGAAGAACCAACCTTGTGACAGTAACTACGTCAAAGTACACCGTAGTTACACCCCTTTTGACATCTGCGCCCTTTTGTCTGGGTGAGACATCAAAGCCAAAGTGTCAAGTTAGCCGAGGTTTGTTGACTGTCGGTCCGTTAGAGAGAAGTTATTCGACGGCCATGACAAGTCTAAACTTTTATCAGGTGAGATTCACGCCTGAGTTTGATGTCACTGAGAGCTACATTGAACAATTCCGAACCATGATGTCACCATGACATCATCTACTAAGACTGTCTTCTAATCCATGACATCCCGGACTCCCCACACTTCCATTGCTCTTGATAACTCGGAATTCATGCACCAGCATGAAGCTATGCTACCAACACCAATCAAGAAACATGTGACGAGCTTGGTGCAGGTGTTGGCAGAAGGAGAGGCAGCATAGGCTAAAGTTGTGATCTTGGAGAAGGAGATTAAGCCCGACACCGGAGGATGTACAGAAGTTGGCAAGGAAGCAGAAGCAAGGGGTAACAGTGAAGGACATGAAGACACATGTATTCACACGGACTGAAGTGCTGGAGGCAATCAAGGTCGTAGAGGCAGATCAGCCCGCAAAGAAGAGGAAGGGTAAAGGGAAAGTGGTTCCAGAGGAGACGGAAAATGCCATGGAAGAAAATCCTTTTCTCTCAAGTGCCTAGGAAGCTGATATGCATGGTAAGGACTATCTATGTGAGGTGACATGCACCAGTACAAAGTGCCACATATCTCCTGAACTATTGACTGTCAGATGTAGAAGTAGAATGCATAAAGAGTACAAATATTGACAGAGGTTAGATATGAGACGAGGGAATACACGGAAATAGCGATAGCGCTCCAATGTGGCAGTTACCGATTGCTCTATTTCCGACACCCCCACTCAAGCAGATCTGCCACATCTCCCTCAACCTATCAAATGTGTCAGAGGGCAAGGCCTTTGTCAAGAAATCTGCAATGTTCTCAGCTGAGGGGACATGTCCAAGAGATACTGTATTCTCTTCAATTTTCTCACGGATGTAATGATGTCGTAAGTCAATATGTTTGGTCTTGTTATGATGAACTGGATTCTTGGCCAGAGCAATAGTTCCAGCATTATCATTTAGAAGTTTCAGAGGTTCTTCACCAAGTCCAAGTCCCAAATCATCTAAAAGTTGTCTCAACCACACCGCTTGCCTTGTAGCATCTGAAGACGCCATGTATTCCGCTTTCTGTTGTTGAAAGCGCAACTGTAGGTTGTCTCCTACTTTTCCAAGCAACAACTCCACCATAAACTTTAAAGACATATCCAGTGGTTGACCTTCTAGTGTTCAAATCTCCTCCCCAATCTGCATCTGCATAGCCTAAAGCAATGGGATTGCTATTCTCTTTGTTGAAGGTGAGACAAAGATCAGAAGTACCACGGATATAACGAAGTAGGTGTTTGACTGCTTTCCAATGTGAGTCATTCCATTTACTAAGGAATCTAGATAAGAGACTTGCTGGAAAAGCAAGGTCAGGTCGAGTTATGGCTGAAGCATAAAGAATAGCCCCCACTGCTTGGGCATATGGGTAGTGTTTTGCTTCTTCATGTTCTTCATCTATTGCAGGGATTGGACGAAATCCAGAAGGTAGAGGAGTTTTTGCAGAATTGCAATGTTTCAAGTCAAATCTTTCAAGAAGTGATTCAAAGTAATGTTCTTGGGACATAAACCATTTGTGATTTGCTCTATCACGATGAATGTTGAAACCAAGGAAGTATCCAACTGGACCAGAGTCTGAACACTCAAATTATGAATTAAGTGCCGCTTTGAAGTTGTCCAACATAGTCCGATTGTTACATGCAATAAGTTGATCGTCGACATGTACAGAGAGCATGAGGATGTTACCTCCTTCACACTTTGAATAGAAACAAGGATCCGCTTTTGTAGGAAGTAATCCTTGAGATTGTAACCACTTGTCATGTGCTTTGTTGAAACGTTGTGGTGATTGTTTCAAACCATGAAGCGACTTGCGCAACCAAAGTACTTTGTTTGCTGGGATGTTGGAACCTTCTGGTGGTTGCAGGTAGATTGTTTCTTCTAATTCCCCATTCAGGAATGCCGCTTTGATATCCACTTGATCACATTCAAGATCAAAGTGGTTGACAATTGCCAGAAACACTTGAATTGAATCTTTGTGCGCAACAGCAGTAAAGAGTTCATTGTAGTCCAATCCTTCCACTTGACTGTAGCCTTTTGCAACAAATCACGCTTTGTAGGTCGAAGGGAGACCAGTTTCTCCATCAATCTTGCGAGTGTACACCCAACGGCCTGTTAGAATGCGCATTTTTGGGTCTAGATCAACTACCTCCCATACTTTGTACTTTGACATTTTTTCAAGTTCTTCATCCATGCTTTTTCTCCAACATTCCCATTCACCTGTATTTTGCGCTTCTCGATAGGAGTTGGGTAGATTTGTGGCTGCAAGTGCATGAGCTGCAAGACTGAATGATGTATCATCATCATGAAGGTTTAGTTCATCTGAACTTTCAGAGGAGGAAGAGGATTCTTCATCTTGCAAATTTTGCGCAAATTGTTGTTGCGCAATTGCATTTTGACGTCTAGGATCACGATCAAGATTTCGTAAAAACTCTTGATTCTGAGTGTTTCTTTGCTCCTCAAGTTGCTCAAAGAGAGTTTGTATGCGCCTCAATGGTTGAGCTTCGTTTTGGTTGATTTCGTCTTGTGGGTCTTGCGCAATTTCATTTTGAATTTTTTCAACTCCAATTGAGATTGTCGTTAATTTTGAATTCGCTTTTTGATTATCTAAGTCCCTGCAAGACGAATTTGACTGATTTTTGCGGTGAATATCTGTGCCACTACCAATAATATGTGATGTAAGTTCTAGATCAGGAACCTCAGGAACTTTGGAGAAATCTGATTTTGTAGCAAAAATGACATCTCTTGTGATCCAAATCTTTTGTGTGACAGTGTCCAAAATGCGAAAGTTGTTTGTACCTTCTTGGTAACCAAGTAGTTGTCCCTCGCGATAGCGTTGCGCAAGTTTGTTGCTGTGTTTATGGTCACGGTGTTAAACCTTACATACAAATGGTTGAAGATGAGAAAGTCGCTTTTCACTTTTGTACCAAATGTCATCTGGAACTTGTCGCTTTGGACCACCAGGACACCGATTGCGTGTATAAGCAATGTAGTTTGCTGCTTCTGCCCAGTACTTAGCAGGAAGCCCAGAACACGCCAGGACTGTGCGAACTCCATTGAGAATTGTAAGATGAAGTCGTTCTGCACGTCCGTTTTGTGTATGCGCATCTGGAGGTACTTGAATGTGTTGAATACCGTGTGTTGCGCAAAAGCTTCTCATTTGCGCAGAACTGAACTCTCCACCATTGTCAGAGCGAAGTGTTTTAACTTTAGTGTCAAATTGTCTTTCTACTTTTGCAATATGGTGTTGTAATTGCGCAAAAGCGTCTGATTTGTGTTTGAGAAAGTAGAGATGTACTTTTCGGGTGAAGTCATCATAACAAGATAAGAAATAAAGTGCTCCATTAAGGGATGGAGTTCGTGCTGGTCCCCACAGATCGAGATGAATGACTTGCAGCGGTTCAGTAGCACGGATCTCGCTTGGAATTGATGGTAATCTCCTGCCTTTTCCAACTACACAACTTCTGCACTGAAAATCTTTTGCATGAGAGTTTGTAAATTCACACCCTAACCGTCCTGACTTTGACAAATTGATTAAAGCGCCAACATTAAGGTGTCCGAGGCGCTCGTGCCAGTCTTGTAGGTCAGTTGTAGTCGCAATATTTGCAGTAGGAGTACTTGCTTGTAGAAGATAAAGACGATTATGTTTTTGCGCAGAGAGAAGAACTTGGTGATTCTTGCAGAAAGTCGCAATTCCCTTTCTGAAGCGCCATTCTGAATCTCCCCCATCTTCTGATGCGCCTACAGACAGCAAATTTCGGTCCAAACCAGGAACTAAAAGCGTGTTTGGAAATTTTACACTGTTTATAACTAGGTTACCAGCTTGTGTACATGGTAGAATGGCAGAATTTCCGAATTTTACACGAGTTGGAGGGATTGAATGAATTGACGAAAGCGAATTTTTGTCATTACACAGGTGGTGTGAAGCACCAGAGTCCACCACAAAAATCGATTTTGAATCGGCACATAACACGATGGGATCGTCTGCAGTAGCCACTGCGGTGAGAAAAGCGCTAGCATCGGAAAGATAAGCGATATCGGCTGTCGCTTTTGATTCTTCTGTTGCTTTTGGTTCTTTTGAAGCAACATTTGCGCTTTTTGAACTTTTCCCTCGGTTTTTGAAACAGTTTTCGGTAGAATGACCGGTTTTCT